CCACATGAATTTGACCTACACAAAAGTGAAAACCAAGCAGCAAATTATAACTTAGATTCCATCTGCATCTGCTGTCATCCCTAAGCTAGCTGCACTGAGCAAGCAAATAAGTTTTGAATCTTTAACTTATGCATTAATTTGCAAGTCCTTTTGTCTGTGCACATTCTTTATGATAACCAGTTGAGTTTCGTAGACTATCAATATATTACTGGTGAAACCTCCTATACTCATTAATGCTTATTGGGAGACTACTATAACATTATAGAATCTTTGAAAAGCCAGAGATAGGAGGGAAGAAAGTTCAAAATGTTGAGGGAGAGTTGATTTGACTTTTTCTTTGATTGGTTTGTTGGGTAATATAAATGATTTGATAAACTTTCTAACAATCCAGGGTTGACTTCTTGCATTTGGATGGCTTCTTGAGCACTACAGCTATCTTGGTGGACAATCATTTTTTAGTAAACCATGATTCTGTCGTTCAGAATGTCATGGTGGCCAATACAAATGCGTGATATTTGTATTTAGGAGAAACACTAAGTTAAGAGAAGCAGAAATAGATATATACAGAACAAGCATGGCCTCTGCCAGATGTTACAAAACAGTCCGAATTATCTTCACTTTGGTTGTACTTATTGCTTCTTCTATTTCATCTGCCTTTTCTATGCCAAATGATATATTGGATTCCAGTGACAACCACCTGTTACGCAATCAAACTATCCATCTGAGTCAAAGGGTGCAGAAGTCAAAGAGAATTAGAAGGTATCTGAGGAGGATTAACAAACTCGCAATCAAGACAATTGAGGCAATTCTTTTTCATACCTTTCCAGTACTGTGGCTAGCTAAATTTGGCATCTTTTTAGTGGTTTTCAGGTTTACTAATTTCAATTTGCCTAACTTCTTTGACACAGAGTCCAGATGGTGATCTAATAGATTGTGTCCCATCTCATCTCCAACCGGCTTTTGATCATCCTCTGCTCAAAGGACTGAAGCCACTGGTAATTGTGTTCAGAATCAGATCATTTGCTCTATGTTTCTGCAGAAACTAGAGTCTAAGGAAACTATTTTGTTAAAAGTACATTTACACATACCTAGTAATGGGCTGATAAAATTAAAGCATATCCAGATTTAACCTGGCACTATGATGAAAGAAATTTGATGTCTTGAAAAAGTTTTGTTTGGACTGATTCTGGTATCGACAGAGCTTTCAACTGTAACTCCGCCGATATTTGGACAGAGACCAACCAACCATGGCTGGAGGAAGAGCATTCAACTGTGGACTGATTCTGGTGAATCGTGCCCGGATGGTACTGTACCTATCAGAAGAACTACAATGAAAGATGTCCTGAGAGCTGGTTCACTGCACAAATTCGGCCGAAAATCTTTCAGTAAACAGAATACTAAGATAAGCAGTAATGATCAACTGGTAAGTCTATGAAATGAAGTAAAATGGCACTCAAAAAAGCTTGGTTCAGTTAGTTTTTAAGAAACTAGTTAGGTCAGTTTCTCAGATTTATCAAGGCAATGATTTCTAAATCAATGCATAAGCGACTCGAAGTTTGGGGAAACTTATCTTATCTTCTTCCTATAATTACATCCAAATGTCTCTCTCTCTCTCTCCGAAAAATAGATCATGTCATTTTCTTATTCTCTCCTCAAAATAATTACATTTCTGGAACAATGCCAAACAAATGAGAAGTTTGAGAAGAGAATAAAAGTGAAATTCTTACCAAAGGAAAAAGTGATATTTAAGAACCTCATTGGACAATATGAATAAATCAAGTTGCAAATCAAATTGCTGTTAACATATTTTGGCTCTGTCTAAGCTTTTAAGTTTCCAATCGTAGCATCAAAAGTTCATAGATTCGGATTTTATACACCTGATCTTTTCTTTATTTGCAATGTAGAGACCTGTTGGCGATGTTACTGGAGATTGTTACTCTGGAGCACGGCTCTACATACATGTCTGGAAAGCTAATGAGACGGACCAATATGACTTCAGACTGTCACAAGTCTGGATGGCCTCTGGTAATAGTACTAGTAATGATCTTAATACCGTTGAAGCCGGCTGGCAGGTACGTAAACTAGACACAAGAGTCACTTTTTCTAAGTCTTCTAGGGTGGAAGAAGAAGAAGACATCTAAGGATCAGCCATTTTTAAATTCTCCAGGTTAATCCGAAATTATTTGGAGACAACTCCCCCAGATTCTTCACGTATTGGACGGTAAACCATCAAATATGCATCCTTAAGTTACGTCTGTATGTGCCAGACATAAAAGTTCTTGATTGCGGATCACTTTCAATCTACAGGCTGATTCATATGGAACCACAGGATGCTATAACCTCCTGTGTTCAGGCTTTGTACAAACTAATAATAGAATTTCTTTAGGGGCAGCAATCTCTCCAAGATTTTCCCAGAATGGCAGAGAACTTGATATCGGCATACCGATGATCATCGCAAAGGTAAGCTCAATGCTATCTTATGTAACCTTCAAGTTCAGATTCTTAGACTTTAATTGAAACATCCTGAGTTTTTGTCTTGCAAAATCAAACTAAATTCACATATTTACATTCGACACGTGAAACTAAGAAAAGTACAACCCTGTTATTATTTGCCTGCTCAAATTAGGTAAGAGTATGTCATAACATACAAATGGTTTTATATCATCCTCATTATAATATCTTTCTGGCTTTCCAACTATTCTTGATATAGTTAATTGATTGTCAGATTCTCCTCTCTGTCAGGGCATCAGGATTTTTATTAATTTATTTATTTTTCCTTTGTTGACAACAACTAAACATTTTTTTTTTTTTTTGGTTGACAACAACGAAACTTCTGTTACTAGTTCATAACAACTGGTTTTAAATGAAGCTTATACAAGTAGCTCTTGTCCCATTTCTTGAACTCCACTAAACCACACAACTTCCATCAAAGTAATGGATCACAAATAATTAAAGGCAAGTGGCAAGGGCAGTTAGCAAGTGGTAAGGGCAGTTAGCAAGTGCATGCCACCTTTAATATCTCCACAAAAAAAGAATATATTGGGTTACTAGTAAAATGCACGTGCTTCTGTTGGTTTTTTGGGGCATACACTAAAAAACAATACCTTAGTGTTGCAAAAAAAAAACTTATAAGAGACTTGTATTGAAAGTAGAAAATGAGTTTGTATTATTCATTCATCAACTTACTATTTATAGTGATTACATGAAATAAACTAGCAAAATATCAACTAACAATTATCCTAAAAATCTCAACAAAATGTAATCTTCCTCTACTAGCAAATCTTAGGTAAAATATTTGTTAACAAACCAACATGATCTTTGGTTAACAAATATCCTTATTTTTCTAATAACTAAATTATTTTGATATCAAACTCAATCTGATAAAATCTGTTATATCCCCTCATAGTTTGGATTAAGGTATTAAAGTGATAGAAATGATCATCTGTAACGAAACCTAGGACAATATCGAAATTACCATTGTTTAAAAACTAAAATGACTGAAGTGACCAAAATATATAAACATAATATGCATCACACTCTAACCCCATATGATTTTATATTTTATCATATAACTCCCTTATGGTTTAATGCTTTATCATATAACCCCCTTATGGTTTTTAATATATATAAACATAACCCCCTTGTGGTTAATAAGTAATTTTCTACTTTACATGGGGATATTTTTGACATTTTACTTGACTCCGTGATGGATTGCAAATTCCGTTACTTTGACGCTTTAATCCAAACTATGAGGGGGTTATATATAGTTTTTGAAACCATAGGAGAATTATATAAGGAAACACTAAACTATAGGGTGGAAAAGTGTAATTTGCCCTTAGTATATGATGTTGAACTTAATCAAAATTAATGTCATTGTAGGCAAGAAAAATCAAATGTCAAAGAATCTATTGATGTTTAAAGTTGAATTGGTCCTATGTTTTAGTTCTTAGAGTGAATAAAAAGAAAAAGACAGGAATACATTGTCACGTGAAAAACCATGGCTATGGCTTTATAAAGAGATACAATTGATTAAGTTGAAAGATATATATCACACCATCAAATTTTAAATTCTAAGCAAAAAGATTGAACAAAATTCTACAAACTCTTACATGACTAATAGCAAAATTGGTAAAAATAGTGAAGAGTTGTATGGTGTATAAGCTTTGTAGACTTTCTTTTTTCATCCATTCTTTAGTTTGTTGTCTACTTTAGTGTGCAACACATGAAGTGATCTCCTTCTCACTAATTTATTCTTTAATTTTTTTTATTTCAATTGCATTCCTTTTTATACTTATCAACAATTTACTTTAGTTTTTTTCTCTCTTTATGGCAATAAATGTTGGAATTTTTTTTTTTGGAAATTTACATTTTCTATCATCCATGCATAATTTTTCATATTTTAGTTACCATGACTTTCCATTTTTTTAATTATTTTATTAACTAACTATTGGTTTAAGCCTCACTCTTAAGATACTAAAGTAGATCTTAGGCAATGCCATTTGATAACTGAGATAGTAATGACATTCTAATATTTTATAATTTAATCACTTAGTACTCATAAAACCAATCTAATTTAATAAAGATATTTTTTCTACATGAAAGAGGTTATAAATAAAAGAAATTCACATTCGTTATACATATTTGATTGGTTTGGCATATACTATACATGCTGAAGATTTATAATTATTGGCTTTACCTTATTATAGAAGATATTACCAAAATTGTATCAACTATACAATTAAACACATTTATTTAAATTCATGGGTAAAATACACGGAACCCCCCTATGGTTTCGCGAAAAGACACATTACCCCCCTATCGTTTAGAAACATACACATAAACACCCTAAACTTCATAACTAAAGTGGAAATAGACCTATAACCGGCTGAACGACCTACTGATGATGGGTATGCGAGATTCTTTTGAAAAGATCTTGAGTTTCATTCCCAAGTTACCCTTCAGTTGCTATATTGAAGTGACATATCAGGGGAGAAGAGATTTCAAGCTATCAAAGAGTGAAAGGAAAAAGGGAGAAGATCTACGGAGAAGTTTTCACCTTTCGGACCTAAATAATAAGCCCTCATCGCTAAAAGGTTTGGATGCCTGATCTTCCCCAGTATATTAACCTCAGTTTCAAATTCCCTTTGTCCTTTTGTAATCTTCTCTCTCAATCTCTTCACTGCAGCAACACTGCATCCTCCAATGCTGCCTTATATACTGTTCCATAAGTGCTCTTACCCATGATCTCTGCTGTGGCACACAACAGATCGTCTGCTGTAAAAACCATGGGTCCATCAAAGTGGACAATCTTTCCTCCTGCTTCTCCAGCTGCTTCAACTTCACCTGCAGTTGGAGGAGTGCCTTTTTCTCCGGAGATGAGGAGAGCCCCAGCTGCGATGAGAATAATGTCTTTAGTGCTCAGTCTATGATGTTTCTTTGCTGGAGATTCTGGTGGAGTTGATGGGCCCAGAGAGGGTGGTATTGGACATTGGGTTAATGCACTGTATCCGCATAGCTCAAGATTGCCCACGAAGGCGCTTGCATTGAACTTTTGAGCAAGCTTAGTTGGAACAGGACCGGACAGATTGTTGTAAGACACATTAAAGGAACTAAGATTAGGTAAATCACCTATAGATGCTGGAATCTCTCCACTAAACTTGTTTTGAGATAAATCAACTTGTGTCAGGAAAGAAATGTTCCCAACTGTTGCTGGAATAGGACCAGCAAATTGGTTATTTCTCAAGTTGAGAACAGATAGTTTCTGTAGTTTGTTTACAGCTGCAGGAATTTGGTGGTCAAGATGGTAGCTTTCCAAGTTCAAAACTACAAGGTTTGATAAATTGGAAAGAGCGGCAGGTAAGCTCCCATTGAGTGCATTATATGAGAAATCAAGTGTTCTAAGCCTAGATAGTCTTCCAATTTCATTGGGTATCAATCCAGCCATGTTGTTATGACTGAGTGAAATCTCTTGGAGCTCACTTAAGTTGCCAAGAGAAGCTGGAATTGTCCCAGAAAATGAATTGTGACCAAGTGTTAGGGACTGAAGTTGATAGAGGGCCTTCACATTTCCACCCCAAGAGTCAGGAATGGAACCAGAGAGATTGTTGTGCTCTAGAGCAAGAAAAATCAGCGATTGCGATTGAGTAAGGCTGGTGGGAATTGAACCAGACAAAGAGTTGTAGCTAAAATTAAGCCTAAAGAGCCTGGTTGAATTGGCAAGAGTAGCCGGAATAGTTCCAGAGAGGGAGTTGTTACAGAAATCTAGTGATTGAAGAAGGGGACTCAAACCAAGTGTAGGTGGGATTGAACCAGAAAATCGATTATTGAATAATTGAACACCTCTGAGGTTAGGCAAAAGCCCCAACGAGGAAGGAATTGCACCACCAATTGCATTATTGTGGAGGCTAAGCTTTCTGAGAGCTTGAAGCTGCCCAATTTTTTCAGTTACTCGACCACCTAGACCTTTCCAGGGAAGCTGGATTACAATTACTAGTCGCCGAGCACATTTAATCCCGGCCAAGCCACCCGAACAAGCTCCAATACCACTGTTGTTCCAGCTTCTCAGGAACCCTTTAGGATCAACCAATTCATGTCCGAAAGGCAGCCACGCTGTTTTCAACTCAGATTCATGATATTTCAGCAACAATTTAGTATACAAATCCCTTGTTTTAGGGTTTTTTTTTCTTACACAGGATGAACGAGAGAGAGTGAACGAGAGAGAGTCAGTTCTTGATTCTCTCTCCCTCTCTATTATAAATGAGGGTATTTTGGGTATTCGACCTGCAGCTGGTAACTCAGCCGGTTAAGAAGTCAATTTCCACTTTAGTTATGAAGTTTAGGGTGTTTATGTGTATGTTTCTAAACGATAGGGGGATAATGTGTCTTTTCGCGAAACCATAGGGGAGTTCCGTGTATTTTACCCTAAATTCATAGATATTTTAATTTGAATCTTTAGAAATCTTTTTTTTTTTCAGTTACATTTTGACTATATATGTTTTGAGATTTTCTTCAAATTTTAGTTTGGAAGAAGTTCAAATCCTTTCTACTTTTTATTTTTGTGATACAAAATATGGAAAGTGTCTAATAGAAAAATGTTTTTACAAAGTTAATTTTATTTATCCATGTAGCCCTTTTTTTTTATTCTGAATAGTTTCTGATTGACATTTGTGATTTTAGTCAAAATACGATTACATTATATAGTAATAGATATGGTCTATATTTACACGTCTGTATCTCTTAAAAAAGGTGGATACCCATGGTGGTACCCGTAATTTATGTAAAAGAAGTTCCCAATTAATAAACTCATATGTAACAAGCTTGTTAGCCCCGATGCAACCAAATACAACCAAAATACTCAACCAGACAAGTAGTCAAGTAAATACGATGACAAAGAATATAAGCAATTTTAAAGCACGAAAATAGAGTAACAATAAAGTAAAAGAAATTCAAACCAATCAAACTCCCAAGCTTCTTCCAAACTTGGAGTTGAATCCATCAAATAGTTTCTTCAATTGATGGTAGTGCTAACCAACTTGTACAAGTGAAGGCTCACTCCTTCCTCACCCCAAACATACTTTGGTTGAGCAAAGGAATTTTACTACTCTCCAAGTAAACCCTCAACTAGCTACAATTGAAAGCTTACCCACTCAATTAAGAACTACTTTATACAAGTGAGGCAACCTTTATCAAGCTTTTACCACTCCAAGTGATAGGTTCACCTTCACCAAGGTTTTACTCCTCCTAGAGAGTAACCTTCACTTGAGCAACCTCACAACCCAACTTTCCCAACCCCTTATACAACCAACAAAGAATATTTCTATTCAAAGATCTCACTTGTAAGCTTGTATTTAGTGTTGGCAAAAGTCTGTGTCTTCTTGTGTTTTGGGGTATTTATAGAAGGTGAGAAATGGCTCCAAAAGGTTCTCCAACGGTCAAATATTAAATGCTGTCGAAACTAGCCGTTGGCCTGTCGGACGTCCGAACCATTTGCTCTGCGTCCGAACCATGCGTCTGAACCACCTATCGGACGTCCGAACCATTTGTTCTGCGTCCGAACCCTGCGTCCGATAGAAGTCAGAATGTTCAACTTTCATTCTTTTTGTGTTGGACGGCCGAAGCAATGAATGAGCGTCTGATCCAAGCGTCCGAAGAGTATCGTCGTCTGTCGGACGTCCGATCCTCTATTGAGCGTCCGATCCTCTACGTCCGAACCTTCATATTTCTTAACTTCTCTTTGATTCAAATCTTTTCGATTCTCTTTTGGATCAATGACCTGTTCTAACAAATTTCTCACATAAAAACATTAGTCCAAATCTACATTTTGGTTTGTTAATCATCAAAACCAAGGATTGATCAACCAAGGTCAACAATCTCCCCATTTTTGATGATGACAAACAAAATGAAGATTTCTTTGATCAAATAAGTTCAAATAAAACTCCCCCTTAGAAAATGCCAACATACAAAGAAATTTCAATAAATCCTACTCCCCCTTTTGGCATCAATCAAAAAGCAAACTCCTCCTTTATTTTTCAAATCAAGACCATATTGAATGTCAAAACTTTCAAATGTACTTTCAACCATTTAGCACTTTTTGGATTAAATCTTCATGATGTACCTAAGTATGAGAAATTTCATTTGGTATTTTTTCTTTATAGGGTCCTTGGGAGTTAGTACAACATGATCTAGCAATCCACATGGATTTCATACATTTTCTCATATTTTTCTTTACATAGCAATCATTTTGCATATGTCCAAATTGGCAACAAAAGTGACACATGATAGAAGTATTTTGCACATAAGTGGATTTAATGCAACTAATTTTCTTACTTCTTATCATAGCAAACTTATTTGTGCCTTGAAAAGATTTGCTTTCTTTTGTTTGAGAAAACTTTTGTTTTTCATTTTGGAGAAACTCGTTCAAATCATTAATTCTTTTCTTTAACAAATTTTGTTCCTCCAACATTTTTTCATAAAACTTTGTTTTCTCTTCCAACTTCCTTTTCAAATTATTTTTACAATCAAAAACACCTTTTTGATTTTTTAAATCATCATTTTCCATTCTCAAACATTTGTTTTCTTGAAAAAGTTTGAAGTTTTCTTCCAACAAATCATTTATTTTTGTTTTCAAATCTTTATTTTTAGCATAAGATTCTCTCAAACTTTTATGTATTTTAATCATAAGAATTTGCACATCATCATCTTCATTATCTTCATCACTAGAAGAGTGATAAGAATTTACCTCATCTTCTCCAAAGGCCATTAGTGCCATTTGGGCCAACTCTTCTTTTTCTCTTTTTGAATTGCATTCATCTCATGTAATTTTGCAATCTCCTCTTGAACTTCTCTTGTTGAAGATCTTCTTGAAACTTTTGATGTGAGGAGTTATATCATTGTCCACTTCCATGTTTTCATTACCCATGAAGGATGGGTTATCCCCCACTTGAGATGCTTTAAAAACTATGCCTCTCTTATACATTCTTGCATTTTCTTCCTCTTGCACTTTGAATTTCAGCTTTAATTCATAAGAGGTTAGGGAATTCACAAGAGATTCAATGGACATAGAATTTAAATCATTTGCCTCTTCTATAGCATTTATTTTGTTTTCCCATTCTTTTGACAAGACATTCAAAATCTTTCTATTTTTCTCACCCAAAAAATATTCTTTTCCAAGCAATTTAAGATCTTGAATAATGTCACAAAATCTACTACACATCTTATCAACATTTTCAAGAGGATGCATTTTGAAAAATTCATATTGAGAAACAAGCAAAGATTTCTTTTGTTCTTTAATATCTTGGTTACCTTCATGAAATTCACCCAATTTATCCCAAATATCTTTAGCTGATTTACAACCTTTAATTCTACTAGATTCATTTACATCTAATGCATTGCACAATATATACATGGTCTTGGCATTCAAAGAAAGGTATCTCTTGTCTTTTTCATTCAATTCTTGTCTAGTCTTTAATCTACTCAAATTAGTGGTAGAGTCAACTATTCTAGCTTCATAAGGACCATCTTCTACCACATACCATAATTCAATATAAACGGATTGTAAGAAAATCATTATTCTTTGTTTCCACATGCTAAAATGAGAACCATTAAACATAGGTGGTCTATCAATAGATTGCCCTTCTAAAAAAGAAACATTTATGGTTGCCATGATCTTTACTCTAAGCGGTTAAGCTTAATCTCTAGGAGACCAAACTCTGATGCCAATTGTTAGCCCCGATGCAACCAAATACAACCAAAATACTCAACCAGACAAGTAGTCAAGTAAATACGATGACAAAAAATATAAGCAATTTTAAAGCACAAAAATAGAGTAACAATAAAGTAAAAGAAATTCAAACCAATCAAACTCCCAAGTTTCTTCCAAACTTGGAGTTGAATCCACCAAATAGTTTCTTCAATTGATGGTAGTGCTAACCAACTTGTACAAGTGAAGGCTCACTCCTTCCTCACCCCAAACATACTTTGGTTGAGCAAAGGAATTTTACTACTCTCCAAGTAAACCCTCAACTAGCTACAATTGAAAGTTTACCCACTCAATTAAGAACTACTTTATACAAGTGAGGCAACCTTTATCAAACTTTTACCACTCCAAGTGATAGGTTCACCTTCACCAAGGTTTTACTCCTCCTAGAGAGTAACCTTCACTTGAGCAACCTCACAACCCAACTTTCCCAACCCCTTATACAACCAACAAAGAATATTTCTACTCAAAGATCTCACTTGTAAGCTTGTATTTAGTGTTGGCAAAAGTCTGTGTTTTCTTGTGTTTTGGGGTATTTATAGAAGGTGAGAAATGGCTCCAAAAGGCTCTCCAACGGTCAAATATTAAATGCTGTCGAAACTAGCCGTTGGCCTGTCGAACGTCCGAACCATTTGCTCTGCGTCCGAACCATGCGTCCGAACCACCTATCGGACGTCCGAACCATTTGTTCTGCGTCCGAACCCTGCGTCCGATAGAAGTCAGAATGTTCAACTTTCATTCTTTTTGTGTTGGACGGCCGAAGCAATGAATAAGCGTCCGATCCAAGCGTCCGATCCAAGCGTCCGAAGAGTATCGTCGTCTGTCGGACGTCCGATCCTCTATCGAGCGTCCGATTCTCTACGTCCGAACCTTCATATTTCTTAACTTCTCTTTGATTCAAATCTTTTCGATTCTCTTTTGGATCAATGACCTGTTCTAACAAATTTCTCACATAAAAAAATTAGTCCAAATCTACATTTTGGTTTGTTAATCATCAAAACCAAGGACTGATCAACCAAGGTCAACAAAGCTTGAACTAATCATGTCACAAGTCATTTTATTCAAATGTCAAATATCTATTTTTTTTTTTTTTTGCATATTTGATAGAGTAGTAATCATGTTTGGATTGGTATTGTTTTGTAAAATATTATTTGCTTGTGTTACAAACACATTTTTTTATTCTCCTTTTATCTTTTTAATCACTATTTTTTTAAAAGGAAAATCTCATATATATCACCAAAGATGGAACTAGGGGATGTGGGAAGAGCCTCCTTCAAGTCTATTAAAATTTAAGTTTCCTCCCTTATGAGATTAAAAATTTTTCAAAATCACTCTTTATAAATTGAAGGGTAAATTACTTATGATCCCTTGTAGTTTTACAAAATGATAGACCCTCCTAAGGCTTTAAAATAGCCAAATAACTCCCTTGTAGTTTTATGTAAAGTGAAAAATGGAAGGAATGCACAATCAGTTTAAACATTTATACCAAACGTGCTTTAATATCCCTGTAACCCCCTTATGATTTGTATAAATATCCATTTTACCTCCTGTGATTTTTGCATTTATCTACGTAATCTCTCTATACTTTTATATAAGGTGGTTAAGCCGTCGATTAATTTAGTATTTAAGTAAGGACACTATTGATAATTCAACTAATGACATTAGATAACTATTTTCCATCAAACTTCCACTTCATATAAAACCATAGGGAGTGAAGTGGACATTTTGAAGCGTTGGGGGATCATGTAGTAACAGATGAAACCACAGGGGGTTATATGTAAATGATTCTAAATTTCAAATCTCACCCCTACAAAAACTCAAAAATATTTTAGGTTATACATTTAAGTTTAGGTATATTAAAGCTTAAACCCTCAAGATATATTTTTTAGTTCCATCTATGTATGTCACGTTATAATAGTACTACATTAGTCAAGTAATATTTCAAATAATTTCCTGTCCAAACACACTGTCTTTATACGACTCAAGTTTCATTTTTGTAGGA